CGATTAAATTGGTTTTTGCATCTTTATCGTAGAATAGGCCGAGATCAACTGTACCCCGAAGATAGCAAAATATGTGCTTGATCTCGTTCCAATGACACCTCGTTTGACATGAGTTGTATCTAGTTAATAAATTCACAGAAAATACAATATCTGGTCTAGTATTATTAGCTAAATACATTAAAGCTCCAATAGCACTCAGATACAGTACTTCGGGACAGAGCATTTCTTCGTTGTCTTTTCGAGGACGGAATGGATAATCATGTGTGTTGAGAGATCAAATCACCATTGGTGAAGTCAACGGATGAGCTTTGTCCACGTCGAAACGCTTCAAAACTTTCTCGATGTAATTGGATTGATGGATGAAAATTCCGTTCTTCAAATGCTCAATTTGAAGTCCAAGACAAAGTTTGTTTCTCCCGAGATCTTTCATTTCAAAAAATTTCATGAGATATTTTGCAGTATTTTCAGTTTCATCAGGAGTTTCAATAATGTTCAAGTCATCAACACATGCTGCAATTATGACGAATCCCGAATTTGATAGCCGAATGAAAACACATGGACTAATTGGATCATTCTTATATCCTTCTTTGAGAAGATATTCACTAAGACGTTATACCACATTCGTCCAAATCGTTTTAGTCCATATAATGACTTCTGTAATTTAATGGAAAACATGTCTCGAGGTTTCGAGCTATACGCTTCAGGCATTTTAAATCCATCGGGAACTTTCATATAAATGTCTGTATCGAGTGAACCATATAAATATGCAGTCACTACATCCATTAGGCGCATTTGCAGCTTCTCAAAAACAGACATGCCAATAAGAAAACTTAATGTGGTTACATCAACTACTGGAGAATAAGTTCATTCATAATCTATTCCCGGCATTTGAGAAAAAACTTGGGCAACAAGTCAGGCTTTATATCTTACGATTTCATTATTGTCATTGCATTTATGAACAAATACCCATTTAAAACCAACTGATTTTACACCCTTTGGCGTAGGGACTATCGGTCCAAAAACATCACGTTTTTCAAGTGATTTTAATCCAGCCTGAATAGCTTCATTTCATTTTGACCAATCGTGTCATTTCCGACATTCTTCTATTGATGTTGGCTCATTGTCATTGTTTTCATTCATAACATTTGTGGCAACGGCATAGACAAATATCTCATTAATATCAATATCTTTTTATTCCTTTGCATTCCAGTAGAAATGAAGTTTATTGAAATTTCATAATTATCAACGTTTCTATCATTTTTTGGAATATCTTCCTTGTTTAAAGAAATTGGATCATCATTTGAGACGTTTGCTTTGTTAATATCATTTTCTACGCCAACATTTTCAAATTGTTCATTTTCTTGTTTAGAAGGATGAACATCTTTGGCTCCACATATCAATTCCCGCCTTTTAGCTTTTCTTGGTTTTATGTCTTTTGATCCAATTGGTTTGCCACGTTTTTTGCGTATAGAAGAATCATTTGCAAGAGATTTTTCAGAATTCTCTGCTGGGATTTTAATTCTGGCAGGAACATTCATAGCATGAATATGTGGCTTTGTCACTTTCTTTGTATTTGTGAATGCATCACGCAACTGATTTGCAACATTTTGTAAATGGATTATCTTTTGCACCTCTTGTTTACATATATTTGTTCTAGAATCAAGGTATGATAATCTTGTTGCATTCCATGTTATTTCTTTCGTACTTGGATCCAATTTATCATTTTCTCCCCCTAAGGTCGGGAATACTGTCTCATTGAAATGACAGTCTATGAACCGTGCGGTAAATAAATCACCGATCATAGGTTCGAGATATTTTATTATTGAGAGAGATTCAAATCCAACATAAATTCCTAACCTTCTTTGATGACCCATTTTTGTACGATGGGGTGGATCCATCGGAACATAAATAGCACAACCAAATATCTTAATGTGTGCTAAGTTTGGCTCTTGTCCAGTAACTAATTGCGTTGGAGAATATTTATGATATGCAGTCGGTCTAAGCCGAATTAAATTTCCTGCATGTAAAATAGCATGTCCCGAGCGGATGAAGGTAGATTACACTTCATTAATAATGGTCTAGCGATTAATTGTAATCGCTTAATCAAAGATTCAACAAGACCATTTGTGTATGGACATTAGCAACGGGGTGCCCCACATCAATCCCATCCGACATACAATAGTTGTTAAATGATTGGGAAGTAAACTCTCGTGCATTATCAAGTCGTATTCTCTTTATAGGATGATCCGGAAAATGAGCTCTGAATCGTATGATTTGAGCAAGGAGTTTAACAAATGCCAGATTTCTAGTCGATAAAAGACTAACATGTGACCAAAGTGTTGAAACGAATATCGGCCCACAAATATCTCCTTGAATCCTTTCTAAAAATGGAGGCAATTCAGTTGCAATTTTGTTCATAGAAGGCCTCATGATCATTTTGCCAAGAGAACAGGTCTTACAAGATAAATCACTTGATAATGGAACCCTAATATTCTTTAATGAGTGTCCAAATGAAGTCTTAATGATTTTATGCATCATTACGTGGCATGGGTGACCTAAACAGTCATGCCACAACATAGATGTTTTCTGATCATCTAACTTTGTGTTAGAAACCAAATTTATTTCGAATGGACTAATATATGTGAAATATAGTCCTGAGGAATATGCTGGCATTTTTCACAAATATATTTAGTGCCAGATTTAGTTGTCATAAGACAAAGATATTCCTTTTGATTTTCATTCATGATTTCTATGTGATAACCATTTTGACGCATATCTTTAAAACTTAATAAATTTCTCCGCCATTTGCTGGAGTACAAATCATCATTTATAATTATTTCTATCCCGTTAGGGAGCATCACATATGATTTCCCAGATCTTTCAATAAGCTTCGCAACACCCGATATTGTATTGACTTTAGCTTCGACTAAAGTCATTTGAGAAAAATATACTTTGTTTCTCAAAATGGCGTGCGTTGTAGCACTGTCTATCATACATAATTCTTTATTGATTGAATGATCCATATCTTTAATATATGTAAATAAACATAAGCTTGATATGAAAGTATCACAAATTATGCATATTATTTAACATAAAAGTACATATATTGCACATTTATCATAAAGGGAAATAAAGAAAAAGTACACAATATATGATAACATAAACTACTATTTTACAACATGTAAGAGTCTTATAATTTATTTTGTGTTATTTTGATCAGTGGCAAAAGCAGCGTCCATTATGCTATCATCCATGAAGAGGTCGGACACATCAAACTTTGGCAGAGGTGAAGTTGTGTCATTGACATAATTAGCTTCCACATTTATACCTTTGTTCAGATTCATGGAAGCTTGAAATAACTCCACTAGATGTTTAACCGTACGACATTTATTAGCCCAGTGTCCCGTCATGCCACATTTATAACAAGTCTTTCCGAAGATTTTGGAGGGCGATCTATTTGATGGGTTTTTTGTTTGTCCTTGCCCTTATAATTTGGTCTATTGACCTCTTTATATCCCCAGTTAGGCTTGTTATTATGACCACTAAAATGCCCACGTTTAAAATGTCTTCTCATGCCATTATGCGTTGCATTTGATTGAGTGGCTAAATTATGACCGGATGGACCATAAGCAGAAGGACTAGAACCGGTGGGTCTCAAATTGTGGATTTTCATCAAAAGGTCGTTATTTTTCTCAACGACTAGTAAAACTGCTATAATGTCAGAGTATTTTTTAAAACTTTTTCTCTACATTGCTGCTGTAGCAGCATATTAGAAATATGCATCGTAGAAAGGTTTTCTCCAACATATGAGCATCAATGACTTTTTATCCACATAACTTTAATTTGGATATTATTTGGAACATTGCATAATTATAGTCACTCATAGATTTAAAGTCCTGGAATCTTAGATTGATCCGATCATTCCGAGCCTTAGGCAAAAGGACTTTTTGTTGATGGCCATACCTCTCCTGTAAATTGTTCGATAATTCTTTTGGGTCATCAACCAAAGGATATTCAAATTTGAGACTTTCATGGAGACGGTGAAGGAGGAAAATAACAGTTTTCGCTTTATCTTGAAAAGATGATAAATTATTGGCTCAAATTGTTTCTTCTAAATCGTTGGCTTTAAGATGTGCCAGAGCATCGACTTTCCATTCAAAATATTTTTGACCAGACAGATCAAGAACGTCAAATTCTCTCTTGCTAATGTTTGCCGTACTGCAGGAGGCAGAGATTGTTGAAGATTTTTGCGCAGATTCGTGCTGATAACATATTATGAAATGAAGAAGATGCAGAGAAGATTTAAGAGAGAGATATATTATTAATAAGCTCTAATTTACTCTTCTTAATATGAAATTTTCCAAGTGAGTTTACAAAGAATGGAATGAGCCCTATTTATACTAGCCAAGCTCAGGGATGAATCATCTAGAATGATTCTACATAATTTGCTGACAGTTTTGAATCTAGCCATCTGTCTATCTATGATTACAAGGATTGATACTAGATTGATGTCGGGATTACATGGATTGGAATTTGATGAGTAGATTGATCACAAGGATGAATAATTCACACGTGTAATTCCTAGGATTTCACAACAATTACTTGCTAGTACTTCCTTCGTTCTTTAATTCTTGCAACATTGTGACTTTTGCACTATTCACAGACCTTACTTTGACCATGATTTTCTATTAATATACATAATCAAATTACAGTATTTCGTATAAAATGTTATTGAATTTCTATCAATGTGATTTTTCAAAATATCAACTTTTTATAATGTTTGCTAATAAATAATTAAATATAATTATAGTCAAAATTTTGCGTTAAGAAACGTGAAAGTAAGTGTAGAAAGAATTAAAGAAGGAAGAATAGTATTATTATTACTTCCATGCCGCACTGGCCACTGGGGATTGGTAATTCCGTATATTTCGTCAGATTTTTTTCCTTTGAATTAAAATCATATATGCTCCCGTATTCTGTATTCCATATATTCCTATTCTATTTTATTCATCAAGCCGCATTTTTTCTTTGGGTCGAGGAATAAAATTAAACGAATATGAGCGGTGGAGCTAGGGTTTCTATTCCGACCAACCTCCGTAAAACGATCCAAGACATTAAAGAGATCGCCGGCGACCACTCCGACGAAGACATACTCGCCGTTCTGAAAGATTGCAAGATGGACCCCAATGAGACTGCCCAGAAGCTCCTTTATATTGGTATTGGTTACGTTGAGGTTTTGCTTGTATTTTGTGCGTCTTCTATTGTTTGTGTTGGCGTCGAGGGAAATCGGGTAGCGCGCATGGTTAAGCGTAATGTAGTAGCATGTGCGCTGTTAGGCTGTATTGGCTGATTTTGGCTCACAGGTGGGTGGGTCATTTACGAGAAAGGAGTATAAAAACGTATATTCTCTATTTCTTTATTGCATTTTTTTGAGGCTGTGGATTGATGACTTTGATCTTTCTGTTTCATTAGTAGCTATTCTATATACTTGACAAGCGTAATAGAGCAGCCTTTTATTTTGCCTCGTTCATTCCCTTTTGGTTGAGGAAGGGTTGCACTCCTAACTGAGGGTTAGCGTGTACCCTTTTAATGGTAAATTGGGCCAGTTTCAGCTGGCCTAGGTCTGCCGAAAAGGGTTAGAAGTCTCATTCCTGGTCATTGTATGATTTCTTGCACATGTTTGGATGAATTGGTCTCACAAACACTGTAGTGAGTGAAATTTGGTAAAAATTCAGCAAAGTCCTTAGTTCCTTACTGTTGCCTATGTGAAGGATATTGCTGATTGTTGGTTAGTCACTTTCCTTAATTTTGCAGATACCTTTCACGAAGTTAAAAGGAAACGCGATAGAAGGAAACCGGTAAGCATTTCTGTTCAGTATATATGTTTTCTATATGGTATCCATTGTTTGTTCTAGCTTCCAAAATCCCGGTTTAAAATAGATCTTTATCCTTGGTTAACCCCAACTATATTGGCGTTGGTGAATGAAAGTTTAGTGTCAATTAACTGGCAAAAATAATGGAGCACTGGATACATGCAAAAAAACAAGAACACACCCAATGACAAATTATGCTTGAATGCTTGATATGTTCCAATGTTCCATGGTGCAACTTCTATTGAAAGAAAAATGAGATGAAATTACAACGACAACAACATCCATGCCTTATTGCCAAAAGAGTTTGGGGTCGGCTAACATGAACAAATTATATCGTAGTTAAAAACATTAGATAGAGAAAAGGGAGACAAAGAATAAAAGATCAGCGAATCAGTTCACCACATGTATACACATAGATCAATTCTACATAAAACATTACTATTATGATTTATCAGACGTTAACAAATTGAGATAGCCCAAACTTTGTTGGAGTTGGTGCTTTGGAGGCATGGAATCTGTACGACAACATCCAAGCCGAGTTTGGGGTCAGCTAACATGAATTGACATATGGAATCGGAGTTAAAAGGGATACAATTTTTTTAATTGGTTAAAACAATTTAACTCCCCACCGTAGGTGGGAGCCTTTGCGGCACTGGGGTAATGATGTTGATGGATAAAACAAGTCAACTTTATAAATCCACATAAAAAGCATAGTGGCAACATTTACAATTGATGCCTTGTATTTACAATCTTCTCATGAAGGAAATAGTGAGATTAAACGTAAGAATCCTTATTTCTACCCACTTACATGGGAGGTTTATAATGTATTACAGACAATGAGTTGAGATAATTGCTACATATCATGGGATATGACATATGACTGTATCAGCTAAATTCAATTCTTTTTCATATTCTTTATGTGCTCTTTGTTTTAGTAGGCTTATTTCTTCAATCTTCTGCCTATTCTATATTTCCATTATTTAACAGGCCTATTTCATCAATATTCTTTTTATTTTATATGTTCATTATTTCAGTAGCCCCGTTTCCTTCAATATTCTGTTTACTCAATTGTTAATGAAATGAATTTCTAATTAATTGTAGAGTACAAACAATCAAAGTTCTGAAGAATATAAATGGACCCCACACATGCAGCAACGAAGAACTAGGGGCGGAGGAAATTATCCTCCAACTCATGTCTCTGACGGTATGCTCATTGTAACGTATAACTGTATGAGTCTCTGCAATGACTTCTGTCATTCATTTGATTTATAATTTGAAATTGAAATCCTTGTTACCTCATTACAGCAATTTGAGGAATTGTCTTGTTATTCTCATGATCTCGAAGTCTTGAACTGTGATTTATGTATATTTTTATGACAATATGACATTAAGGCATTGAGCTGCTTACACTTTTGAATGCAAATATATTTGCTTCGGGATATGATTTTTCCTGGTAGATGTTTGGATATAGATATCATTGACAAGAATCTACTATTTTTCAATATACTCCTGATCTTTCCTTTTTTGGCCGTTCAAAAAAACTTTCTCCTTTTCCTTTTATGGATAGGATTATGTGGTTTACTGGTTTATTGATTCATACATTTTAAAATAAGCAATCACACAATATCACTGCAAAAGAAACAGCAGTTGAAAAAAGGCAATGGTAAGAACAAATTGGGACAAAAGGAATATTTTTTGACATACTAGTTACTACTCTTTAATATGTATAGGGAAGGGCTCAAAGCCTCAAACCAAGGCTTTTAAGTTGTAATGCTGAATCATACGAGTGGATAATAAGTAAGAGATCCAGGTTTCTGTTAGAAAAAATAGGTTGTCAACATGGATTGCCGGATAGCTGCATCGATTCGGACATTCGGTCTGGGAATGTTTGAATCAGATTAATTGGGTTGGGCCATGGCTTGTTGGCCCAAATACAAGAAACAAAGAGGGAAATAAAAAATATATCAGGGTTTACAAACTTTTGAAGTGTCGAACCTCCATACGTCGTGCTTTTTTAGTTTGCACATGCTTCTTATTCTTCACCATCACTATTCTCTCCATTAGTAGAAGACTGCTCACTTAGAATTTTATTTTCCTCTCTATAATAGTATTTCTCAACTCTGTTTAGTCTTAGTAAGTAAATTACCTAGTACTTTCTGTTTCTTCAATTGTTACAATAAGGTAATATAAGATAATGGGCCTAAACCCATCAGGAATAATAAACATAAACCCAGAGAGAATAGGAAACTGTACTACTACTAACACATGGCTTACTATTTCTATACTTCAATACATTACTGGATATAGCTCTATAGTACGTCGCTATCCTTTCTTCATGCGAATGGAAGTTGACACTGGACATAAGTACTTTGGCCTTGATAAGAATGGGGTTCTATGACCACTTGGGAATGAGAAGTGTATCTCATTTGGAAATTAGAAGCCTATGCATCATTAGGATTCGAATCTATTTGCTACATCCATAGATGTTTCCTACTTTTATTATTAGTAAGAAAACTAAAATGCATGGTAAATAAAATGTATTTTCTATGATCTTTTGGCCTTCAAAATATTGTATCAATATTGTTTTTACCTTTGTACAATTTAACCAGTGATTTGTGATTTTCCTATTTCCATGTTATCCAACAGGTGCCAGACGCCAGAAACAAATAAGTTATAAACAAGAAAATGGTGTCAGATATTCTAGAGAGCGAAATGCCAGAGGTTTCGTGCCTAATATAAACCAATCAGAAAAGGATGCTGCCTCTCTTGTCAAAAGGTGAAGCTTATTTCACTAGCAAGCTAGCAATTGTTTATTGGCACTCCGTAATTATTATAATTAATTATTTACCGGTGACATTAACTTTACAGCTCTTCAGCTTCTGCTTCTCCCATCACTGACCTTGAAATGTCTAATGAGAGCTCTAGTCAAGGACCATTCACCCAAGTAGCTGCAAAAAAAGCTAATGATGTCAGCATAAGCGCAGTAGTTGATGGAAATAAGTTGACAAAACTGCCTTCAGTGGCCCTACAGCAATTCCGATATTTGAACCCTGGCCCTACACCTACTTCTACCCCTACTTTTTCCCCATACAGAGCCAAAGATGGAAAATCCAAACCAACACCTAGTGATACGATGTTTAGTGTGTCCACAGCTTCTGCCTCGGGTGTCTATTCCTCTGCATCAGATCCTGTACTAATGCCATCCTTAAACCCCCACAATCCTGGAGTGGTAGGCACAATAAAACGTGAAATATGCACCCAGCGGATTGCTAATGAAGCCCAAAGTGATAGCAGTCTAAGTAATGTTCAAGGTGTCGTGGGAAATGGTCTACCGTCCTCTGGAACTTTAAACTCCACTGATAAAATATGGCCAGCAGAATCACAAGGAGGTGAAAAAACCCGATTGGGTGGGTCTTCAATGCCATCACAGTTAATCCAAGATGAAGCACAAGGTATTGCAATTAATCAAGAAACTGGGTATTCTGAACAAGGTAATTACCTTTTTAAATATCTCCCCCCCTTCCTACCACTTTAAGAATGATCTTTTGCTATCACACTTTGATATTTGTTTGAGCTGAAACTTTCAAAAGTCACTTGTATTTACTGATGTTGTGACCTTTCTTGTTTCTTCTGGTTCCTGTATATAATGATTCTTTTGAATGGTTGTCTGCATCTCCTATTTGATTTGCGGAATCATGTAACTCAATGAGTTAATGTATTGTGTTTGCCCACTTGTGGTACTAGCATTCACTCTTGATTTCTGCTCTTGATATGGTGTTTTAAAGTCTGGGGTAGGCTTAAACAAGTAAAGTAAACTATGCTGATAATCTCTAAAGAGCTAATTGAAAAATTTTGAGTTCTTTTTGATTCTCTATTTTTTCATTAGTATCTAAACTTTTCTTCAAATGATTATTATGCAGTATTGGAATCTAAGGCTGGAATTGTTATATCAGAAGCCTCATCACCGCTTCTTAAATCTAATGACAATTTGCCTAAGCAGCTTGACATAAAGTTAGAGAAGCTAAAGATTACTGCTCATCAACCTGTTATTTTACCTAGTCATCTTCTAGTACCTGAAGAGTTCAAGGCTGGATTGATTTTTGGTAGTTTAGATGCTTCTATGGAGCAAATCATGAACCACAATGGTAAACCTGTTTCAGTTACTGATGAAAGTTCCAATGAGCTTTCTATGAGGTATGTTGTGATTAGATATATCACTTTTGCTAATTTATTGAAATTGAGTTGGCAATTTTGAAAATTTCCGGATATGCTTATGCTTCCTTTTTTTTGCTTATGCTTCGTTTTTTGTTAATACCTGTGCGTGTATCACTTTCTATGATTTCTCTTTTATATGCTTATGCTTTGTTTTTTTGTTAATACCTGTGCATAAAACCGATGCAGTCCCCAAGCGCCATCCGGGATTGCTCAAGAAGTCATCCATCTAGATAATTCAGAGTCACAACCACATGCATCTGAAAATGCAAAACCAGTTGAAGACAACACAGCACCGGGTGTAGCTGGAACATTTGACCAGACAAAACAGCAGGCTCTTCCACCCTTTGGGGGTTCACAATTTTCTCATATTCAAACTCCTAATTATAGCTTTGGTCTTGTACCGCAAGTGACGAGTCCACATCATGTGCAATGTGAAGGATCCAATAAGCAGGCATGCTTCTGCTTTAGTATCTTCTAGTTTCCAGATTTTGTTCTCACATTTGATTGCATGCCTGCATTCGTACTGAATAATATTGCCACGTGCATTAACAACATTTTCATTAAGAGCCCGTTTGGTAACACTGAAATCAGCTGAATCGACTGATTCTACTGAAATTTATGAAGTTCTAGCTGAAGTGGCTGTTTTGGTTGATTTTGCTGATTTTTGAAAAAATTATATCTAAAATATATTTTATTAATAAAATAAAAAAAAGTTTTACGAAAAATAGCTAAAATGGTTATCTACATTAACTTCAACCAATACGGCAGAAAAGCAACTCCAACCTTACTTTTTGTTATTATTACACAATTTAACGTGCAAAATCAAAAGTTACGTGTTTGGGTAAAAAGTATGCTGATGAGCCTGATAAGCTGAAAAAAGAGAGTTACCAAACAGGCTCTAATTAATAGCCTGACCTGAATACTAAAACCTCTCAGCGTAGTGCTATGCCACTACTTTAGCAGAATGCTGAAGTCTATCACTTTATATGCAGTGATAGACTGCATAGGTAGCTTTCAATTTACAACCTACCTACCATCTCATGCAAAGCAAATCTTTTCAAGTGTGTAATGAAACATATGCAGCTTTTAAAATAATTAAAACATTTATAATACAGGATTGTGGTAGTCTTTGTTAGTCTCCTGCTACAATGTTCTTCATTTATGTGCTCTGAATGTTTCGTAATTAGCACATGCTTAGCACAACATTATGATATTATCATGTTTGTACATAGGGGTGGACTCGGGTCCGGGCCGGGTCCGGGTCGGGCCGGCGGTTCAAGAATGGTGGACTCGGGACCGGCCCGGGTAGCCACCGGGTCCGGTCCGGGTCCGGGCCTCCGGTTTGGATTTTTTTTTTGCTTTCCTAACCCCCCCTCACCCCCACCCTCCCAAACCCCCCCAAATCCATCCTACCCATCAAGCCCAACCCGGGTGGAAGCCCAAAAATGAAAAAAAAAAAATCAATTTGGCCCGGGCCCGGGCCCGACCCGGCCGGGCCGGTTCACCAAAATTGAGACCCGAGCCCGGACCCGCCCTACTCCCCGGGCCTAGGCCCGACCCGGACCCGGACCCGAGAACTGGGCCGGTCCCGGTCCCGCACAGTAGCAGGCCGGGCCGGTCCACGGGCCGGGTGGCCCGACCCGAGTCCAAGCCTATTTGTACATATTTCATATCATGTCACCCAATGTGCTTCTGCAACAAAAACTTTTCTCTAGAATGTTTCAGAATACCACTTGCTTAGCACAATGTTCTGCGGATCTCATGTTTATACATATCCTATTATCCTATATCATATATCACCCAGTGGTCTCTCTTCATATTTTCCCAGTGAAGTGGTATTGTTGGCTTGTGATGAAGTGATGGAAATTTGGAACTACTTTTATTTGTGTAGTTCTTTTCATATTTCTGGGCAGAAAGTGGAGAAGATTTTGGCTTCCCTTCACCTTGATTGTTTTTTTCAATGAGTTGGCATTTATACTTGTTCTTTCATTTTCTTTTCCAATAATCATTATTAGTTTGTCAGATAAATTTTATCTTGAAGTTCCTAACTAACATATGGTTCTCGCTGGTGCTTTTCCGTGTCATGATTATCTTCGCTGACCACTATGTATTCCTAGTATGCATGTTTTTAGTGGCTACAAGGTTGACATCTGAATACTTATGGGCTAAAAATGGGACAGATAGTTGGATGAGAATAAGTTGAACCCAATGAACTTGATTTTGAATGCCAAAAAGTAAAAAAGTGTATTGTTTTGGAGTTTTTCTTTTCGTTTATATTTTTCTGAAGAAAACATTTTTAAACTAAATGTTTCAGTTTATCTACAAATGCAGGGTGGCAATTCTCAAACACAGTCGACATCAGGCCAAAATCCGCCCGTTTCTCAGCCCATTGGAATTGGACACAGCTCTGTAGCATCTCCTCAGTTGTTTCCTTTACTCAGACAGCCATATGCTTCTAACTATTTTCAATACAACCCTTACCTCCCTCCATTTTATATGCCTCAAAGTGCCCACCAATTCTTAGGCCCAAGTGGTTTCGCTCAACAACCTTCTACTGCCAACATTTATATGCCTCCATCGCCCGGGGTTAAATTCTCTGTACCACCTCCTCTATACAAACCTGCAGCTATCACTGGCAATCTGACACACTATGGGGTTCCTACAGGCTACAGTTCATATGGCTCATCAGCTGGATATGGTTCCAGTGATGCCCCAACCTCTGGTGGCTCCACTAGCAGTGAAGAGCTTGCTGCAGCTCAGCTAGCAGAGAAGAATATCTATTCCACACTAAAACAGGTGTGCATTATTATGTTTTTAATGTCATTCATTGATTAATATTTAATATTATCACAATATGGGCAGTAGGCAGTTGTTGTAAAGCTGTAGTTCATTGATTTATTATCATTTGAGATCGCAGCCATATTAGGATAAAAATTTCTCCAATTATGCCTTTATTTTCAAACCACGAGTCCATGACATTGTTTCTTAGTTATCACCAATCACTGTTTTGTATGCAAACCCCTTCTTTTATTGCCCAGAAATCTGCTCTTGAATATACTCATCAGATTTTTTTCCTTCTGGATGGTAATTTTTTTAAATGACAGCCTGACAGGTGACCAATATGGAAGTTCATAGTATACCGTCTAGCTTTTAATATAACTTTTAATGATTAGCTGTGTAAGTGTATCAAATTTAATCTGGGTTTGATATCAATAATCTTTTGTTTGTCAAATATTCTCACAGAATGAAGAGCCACATGTTTGGACCTCGGCAAGTGGAAGGGATTTGTCAATGGTACCACCGGCCAATTACTTTTACAACTTACCTCATGCCCAGCAAGTAGCTTTTTCCCCTGCTGCTCATTCTACACATGGACCATTTTCTAGTATTTATCATCCTTCTCAGCCCATTGCTAATTCATTAAGCATTCAATCCCAGCGAACTCAGGCTGTTGGCGGATCAGTTGATGCACTTCCTCCTTCTGGTCCTCGTCAGCAACTTCAACATCAAATTAATTGGAATGCAGCATTTTTAAATAGAGAAAACAATTGAGGCAAAAGAATCTGCTGGGATAAATGAGTGCGCATACACGCACCTTAGAATGAGCACCAAGAATAATATGCAACCACTCACAAATGCATCTACCTCATTGATCCTTTTATCCCTGTAAATATAAACTTTACATTTCAAGTGTAGGCAAGCTTGGGTGTCCTACCAGAATTTTGGTATTTTAAAGCACATGCCTTGCTTTAGAGCAGATTTTTACTCCACATAAATTTTCTCCTTAGAGCTTATTAGATTAGTCATTAGTGTTTGATTTCTTTGAGTTTTTTTAGCAATAGGTTTTTTGAGAGGGCTAGAACAGGTGAATTCTTTAATGATTCATTCGAGAGAAGTGTGGACATTCACGGGTGCTTGTGTTTTCAGTCGCATGTGTGTGCCCGCCCTTTCATTTAAAATTTTCAGTTTGTTTGAATCGTTTGATGCATATTAATTTCTCAAGAAGTCAGAAATCAAAATAAAACCATAACGTGGTTAGAAATTTAGAATTGATTAACATGAATTTGCTGATGTCAGGGGAACACTTCAGAAACTGGACTGGAATCGGCTGATTTTTTAGGATGTTTTTCCTTGGATGGTAATTTGATAGTCTGCTCTGTTTTGGTTTGTCTGAAATTTTATTTTTTATATATTTTGCATAAAGATTTTTATATATATATTATAATCCATAAATAATTATATTTTATTCATTTATAATTAAAAATAATAATATTCCTTTCCAATTATCGAAAATTGTTATCGTTTTACTTGGATTGATTTCAATCCTAGACTGAAGCAGATCAACTTAGATCATACAAATACAGAATAACTTAAACTAGATCATATCATATTATACTACACTGGACTAGTCCAAATAAAAACAGGACAAAATATAAAATTAGGCAATTGGTCCAATATACTCACATAGTCACACGTATATGTGCGGTTTCTCTACGTTGGTTTTTCCCATATCATCTCTCTTCATGTAAGTGTCTTTCACCATGATTGCATGCTCTCAAGTTCAATTCTCTTCAAATTGAATTTCACAGCATCACACCATATATATACGTACATGATTGTACATGACTGTTTCGTATAGTGCTTAGGGAATTCTAACGGGGTTTCGTATATAATACATGATTGTACATGACTATTCCGTGTGTGTGTGTGTGTGTGTATATATATATATATATATATATATATATATATATATATATATATATATATATATATACATATATAATAAAGATCAAATGAGAACGATGCTTAACGTGAGAACGTGAGAACACCACATTTACCCCAGCGTGTTGCACAACGAAGCTTGTATATTGCACATTTTCACATTTTCACATTATTTACCAAAATGCCACCGTGTTTATTTAAATAGGCTTAATTTGAGCAAATTGAAAATGTGCAACAGAGTAGCTCCATTGTGCACCACGTTGATTTAAATGTGAGTGTTCTCACGTTCTCACGTTAAGCATCGTTCTCACTATATATATATATATATATATATATATATATATATATATATATATGTATAGACATATAATTAAAAATATTATCATATGTAAGTACTTCACTTCAATTAATTATGAAGTTATAATTATGTATTATTTTACTATCAATTATAGACAATGTCAAGAAGGACACCTTGGAATGATACCACTACAACTACATTTTTGAAGATTTGTGCTGAAGAAAAAGCAAAAGGAAATACTAAATATGATTGGAATAAAATTGTAAACAACCTTCATGCACAAACGGTGCTCTCTTTTATTGTAAGAAAACGCGAAATCACTTTAGTGAGTTGAAAGATAAATATAAAGCATGGGTCGACCTTCAAAATTGCACTGGAATAAATTTTGATCCATTTACGGGAGAAGTTCAAGTAGAAGAACGTTCCTTAGATAGATGGAAAACATATCAAGAGGTTAAAATGCACTTGCCTTTTTCTTTAATTTCAAATTCCATTCTCTAAACAAAAGTTATTTACTAATATTATTTAATTGTATTAATAAATATAAATATAATTAAATATATCTTTTAGAAACATATGCGACATGGAGCTGCAGTTGCTAAGAAGCAGATGCCATATCTTCAGTACCTAGTTTTTTTTCCCAAGGACAGATCGCACATGGTGTACGCGGTAGCTCACATGCTAGCGCTAGGACAACACCCATTCTCAATAGTAATGTCGTGGTCCAAAAGACTCAGAACATAAACACCGAAGAATCTTTTGATACCGGTAGTGATAGTTCGGATGAAAATGAAAGTCATGATACCGTTTATGGTGAAAAAAGTGATTCACCTATTATGGTAGAACACTCATCCGCATCAACTAAGAAGCGAAAGGGAAAAAACAACGTCGGTGAAAGCTTAGCACGAAATCGAGAGGAAATAGATAGATGTTTAGAAATTGTGAAGCTTGCTTCTGCAAAAGAGTGATCTGTGATCGAAAAGGTGGCTAAGCTTATTGATGAGATGTAGGTTGACAAGAAATACAGTGATCAATATTATGTGGATGCTATGACCTTCTTAAGTGAAGGTAATAAGAGTGAGGTCTTCGTGACACGTCGATCTGAAAATCAGAGGTGGATGTTTCTACAAAAGGAGTTCCTTATGGCAATCAAGATTGTTATATCCCGATGGCTGCATATTTTACTTATGATGTGTGATATTTATTTTCAGCATGCTAATATTTGTTTGAACTAAAATTATGTGGATTGTTATGTTTTACAAACATCTCGTGTTATCGTTGTTATAACATGTGTTTACCATTTGTTTTAATGTGCATTGGAATTCATTATTTTACTTGTGTAGAATGAATGTTAAAGTTAGACGGTCATGTCTAATTATTGCATTAGAAGAACTCAGATCATTACTAGAAGATGATGAACAAAAAAAGATTAGGATACCAATGAGAGTATGTGGAGAAACGGGAGGCGAATACAGAATATATACATAGAATGTTGAACGATCATCCTGGATTGTGTAAAGAGCAATTAAGGTTGACCCGCACGGGTAGCTCAGTTGGTCGAGTGGTGGGAAAATTGGACCAAGTGACCAAGGTTCGAAACCCGCAGCGGCCATGTGGAGGTTACAGAACCTGAAATAAGGCTGGACCTCTGGTGCACACGTGTATAAGGCCTACCGCCGCTTTGCTGACTGAGTCACCGTGATTAACCTTCCCACCATCCTGTCGGGTCGGGGTGGGGTGGGGGGGGGTTTGGGGTTGGGCATTCAACCTTTTGGACCAAGCAATTAAGGTTGACGAGAGAAATGTTCATCCACCTTGTGAATATTATGGTTGAAAGAAATTTATTGAAAGTCAACAGGTTCATTCATGTGGCAGAGCAAATTAGAATTGGTCTCTATATATTGGCCAAGGGAGCCAATTTAAAATGTAGGTAAATATTACTTAGTAGATTCAGGCTATCCAAACACACATGGATATTTAGCTCCATTTGATGATGCAGGAATGAGGAAACATGTGCTAGAATTTCGTGCCAGTGGTAAACCAAGAGGAGTAATGGAACATTTTAATTATCGCCATTTATCACTGAGAACTACCATTGAAAGAGCATGTTCGCATCTGAAGAAAAGGTGGAAGATACTTCACAATATGACCAAAATGAAAGAAGATCATCAACAAGCAAGTATTTTCTCTACTTTTAAACTTCATAATTTTATGAGCATGTGCAAAATGGGAATGTCAATTTATGAACATGAAGGGAATGGAGAAGACATGGTTGATTCACATATGTTCAACAATGAGCGAAAAGAAGCTATGAACAATGTTCGCCTGGAAATTGCGAAACAGATTTGGAAAGACGTTCAGAAACCCAGAACAACGGATGCATGATGATATTTATTACGTAGTACTTTATAGTACTTTTTTTGGTTCTAAAAAGATTTATAGTTTACCCATTATTCTTACGATTTTTTTACAAATCAAGATTTTATTTATTTATTTTTATTTCTTTGTTTTTTACAAATCAAGATCATCTATATTATTCTGTCACTTGTATGACTTAAAATACGAACAGACTAAACCAAACAATAATAAAATAGTACAAGTATTAATAATAACAACAATACTACTACTACTTCTTCTACTACTACTACTAATAATAAAATATGGTCTGGTCTGGTCTGATCTGGTCTGTTTTGGTCTGGTCTGGTCTGGGACGAATTACAGTCCAAGTAAAAACAACCTTACTCCGTAGTACTCCCTCCGTCCCATTAAATAGTTCCCGCATTAACTTGGATCAAAGTTTAAGAAAGTGAGAATAAAGTTGAAATGTAGGGTTGTGGTTGGGTAAGAAAAAAGTAAATGAATGTGAACCACACAAAACTTTCTAAAAGAGGAAATGAGAACCATTTTTTTGGGACGACCCAAAAAAGAAACTGAGAACTATTTTACGGGACGGAGGGAACGGAGGGAGTATATCACTTTGTACCGGATGCGTGCTTTGAGTAAATACTACGTAATATTTAACACTTTTAGAGAGAAACAAATTAAACATTTTCATAGCAATAAAAGTTTGTTTCTTTCAAAAAAAAAACAGCAATAAAAGTTTGAATTGTTTCATATAAAAAAGGTTGTAATAAAAGTTAGCAAAATAATAAAATGCACATTTACTAAAGCATGGTTGCAATTCAATAGATACAACAGGTTAATGAGTGAAAACAATTATTTATACTTAAAATGATCTGATGAAAAAATAATACCAGAATAAAAGAGGGTATTTCAAAAATGTTACTCCCTCCATATTTTTTGTTTGCTATACTTTCCTTATCGGGGGAATTATTTTTTTGTTTGCTATATTTTATTGTTTATATAATTTTTCCTTTAAAACTACTCAATAAACATTAATCTTTTATTAAAAAATGAAAGACGAAGACTAAGAGTCTGTTTGGTAATACCAAAATTGGTTGCATTGGTCGAATCTACTGAAATTTGTTAAACTCTGTCTGGAGTGACTGAATTAGTTGATCTTGTTGATTTATGAAAAATTTAAGGGAAAATTTGAGTTTCACCCCATATTATTGTCCAAATTGGATTTTGCACGCCGTTTGTTAAAAACTTTATTTTTGCACCCTAACCCCGTATGAAAATATAAAAATGCATCTCCATTAACAATTATGTTGGCCTTCAACATATTCCGGATCGAGGGGCATTTTTGTCTTTTCATACTGGGTTGGGATTCAAAAACAAAGATTTTTAAAAGTGGGGTGCAAAGTCTAATTTGAACAATTAAATAGGATGCAAACTCAAATTACCCCAAAAAATAATTTTAAAATATATTTTATTAATAAAATACAAAAATATATGTAAAAATAGCTAAAATGGTCATCTAGAGTAATTTAAGCCAATACAATCTGAAAAATAATTTCAATCTTATTTTTTCTTCTTATCACATAATTCATAGCGCGAAATCAAAAGTTACACGTTTGACA